GGCGGGGGCCGCGTATGCGTACCCGCCGCCGCCCGCAGGGGCCCCGCGTGGCGGCGGCGCGCTGGGCGTGCTGCGCGCCGCCCTCCTGGAGGCGCCTCGCGCAGTGGCCGCGTTCATCCTGAGTGTCCTCGTGGTGTTGATGCCCTCGCGCGTGCGGCTGCGGCGCCAGCTGTCGGCCGCCAGGCGGCACATCCGCCGCGTGGCGAGCTTTGTGTTCCAGGGCTCCCACATCGAGCGCAACCGCGTGCCCGTGCGGCAGGTGGGCGCGGGCGTGGGTTGTCCTCGCGTGTTGTCTGTTTGAGGGTGGCTTTGGGGTTTTTTGCGCGCTGGGCGACGTGCCTGTACGAACTGTCCAAGGGTTGAGTTGCAGGTGCTGCTGGGGCCTTCGCCCTCGGCAGGATCACTCCCAGCCCTTCCAGCCATCCTTGTTCATGCAAATGAGCAGCATTGTAAAGCCAGTCACCTGGCCCCACACACCTCCCCTCCCTGGCTTTCGATCGCTGCCAAGCCCGTCAACCCCCACCCCCCTCCCCCCACACAAAAATCGCCCCGCAGTTTTCTGTGCGCAGCGACCATGGCGTGCAGGAAGACTCCGACCCCGACCATCCCAACGCCCTCGCCGCCGAGACCCTCGACGCCGTCGCGCGGCTGCACGCGCTGGAGGAGGAGGAGGAGGACCGCCTCGCGCGCCGCGGCGGCCCCGGGCGCGGCCGCGGCGGCGCGGGGCGGGCGTGGCGCGAGATCGACCTGACCGGGCTGGGGTTTAGGCGGGCGGGCCGGGACGACGACGAGGCGTCGGAGGATGAGGATGAGGGCGTTGAGGTGGAGGAGGTGGCAGTTGAAGAGGTGGAGGAGCAGATTACTGAAGATGAGTACGAAGACGAAGACGAGGAAAAGGAGGAGGAGGAGGAGGAGGAGGGGGAGGAGGGGGAGGTTGTGCTGAGGCAGTACAGCGAGGAGGTGGTTGAGGCCGAAATTGAGACTAAGGCGACAGCGCGCCGCAGCGGCGCCGCCGCCAACGGCACCGGCGCCGCGCTCAAGGGCGCTCACGGGCCGCCGACGCCGGCGCTGTACTACGACCCGCGGGGCGGTGGGCTGGCGCCGCGCGGGGCGCTGGGGGACTATGCGCCGGCGGCCGGGGAGGTGCGGGAGTCGCCCGGGGGCTCGCCGGGCGCGAGCGGCGGGACGCGCGGCTCGCGCGCCGCCAAGCAGGCGGCGATCGCGGCTATACACCAGCTGGCCGTCTCAGAGCACCCGCGGGCGTCGATGTGAGGGGGGCAGGGTTGCAAGGAAAGATATCAACGGGCAGCACGGCGCGGCACAGGCTCTTTGTTAGACGCCAGGCGCGGCGGCCGCACCGGCAGGCCACCTTTGCGCGGCGTTCAGCGCCCGAGGTAGGGGTGCTCGGGGTGCCAGCGCCGGCAGGCCGGCCCTGACGTCAGCAGCCGACTGACCGGGTTGACGCGCCGATTCATTTTGTGTGCTCCGTCCGTGGTTGTGCTCTTTTCTGTGAACATCAGGACGAATCGTCATGAGGATGGCCTCATGAGGCGGATTTTCATAGTGGTTTGTTGGGGTTGAGCTGGATGCCCAGGGCCTGTCAGGAGTGCGGGCTAAAAGTAGGGCGGGGTTGAGCTGGATGCCCAGGGCCTGTCAGGAGTGCGGGCTAAAAGTAGGGCGGGACTGAGCACAACTTTGGCGGGGTTTGGATGCTTTGACTACATGCAAGGCGTGCATGGGCTTTCACCACCACTATAGAGCGTGTTCAAATCGCCACATTGCATCATCCGAGCCCGTCATTTGATGACTCATCAACGCGAACGCGCGCGGCCGTCCTCAATTAGCTGGACTGTTCAGAGGCGAGCATAGTCTTGCTCTGCCCCCTGGCTCATGTATCCCTTGAGCTGTTGACCTTGACCCACTGGCCGCGCCCTGACCACCAACTCCTTGTAGATTGTACATGATGTTACACGTCAATTTGAGGCCTCGTCAACTGGGATCAGTGTACAACCCCGCGCCCAAGGCAGTTGAGGGGCCAACAGAACGGCTCATAGGAAAGTAGATGGTTCAAAGCTGTCAAAAGACTATGAACAAAGCTCTACTGACTGAAACTCAAAACCAGCAAGGTAGTGCCGATGTGGCTGTAATCAACGAACAACTACAAAATAAGGACACAGCACGACTGCGCGATTGCGCCTGTTAGGTGGCATTCTCAGCCAGAATCCGCACAGCCACCTGCTCAGCTGCTGCTGCAGCAGCTTCCGCCGCCTTCACCGCTCCTGCCGCCTCTGCCTCGATCGCCGCCGCTGCCGCTGTGTGCTTCAGCACCCTGCGCTCCGCCTCCTTCAGAGCGGCCCTCTCCCTCGCCAGCCGCGCGTGCAGCGCGTCCCTGCTGCGCTCTGCCGCCTGGCGCCGCGCGAGGGCGGCCTCCAGCTCTCGCCGCCTGGCGGCTGTCTCTGCAGCCTGCTGCTTGACGGCTTGGAGGGCACGGACTACAGGGTCGGGGCTGCCAGGAGGCCCGCTGCCGCTGCCACTGCTAACGCCAGCACTGCATGCTGCGCCCTGAGCTGGCGGGGGCGGCACCGCCCTTTGCTGTGTGTCTCCTGGCTGCAGAGGCCCCGGCTGCACGGCCGCGGCCTCCGCAGTACCCAGGGCCGGCACACTCTGGCTGCCTGACAGGCCGGCCCCGCCCGCTGCTGCGCCGCTGGCCGATTTTGAGGCGGCCTCGGGGACTTGGCTGTCAGCGTTGGGCGCGCACCGCTTGCGTGACAAGTGCCTGGGCTGGGCGGTTCGCGACCCCTGAGAGCCCCACACTATTCCCAGAAAGGTGGTAGGGTCGGAAGCCGCCCACAGCTGCTTCGCCACGTTGTTTGCCTGGAGTGGTGGTGGTTGACAGCGATGATTATTCATCAGCGGTGGGAAGTACATCTAATGGCGGGTAATGCCATCATGCGTGGCTGCGTGCTTGCATTTGCGCACCATCGCCCCCAGCTGCGATGCAAGAATCATCCCGGCTGATGAGCCCATCGGTTGCTTGGGCGGACGACCTGCGTCGGCTCTCCCCGCCCGCCCGTACGCAGCCCCCACACCTGGGCCACAGCCCAGACAATGATTTTGGCTACGAACGCCCCCATCAACATGATGTCATCAAGCTTTGGTTGCTGCACTGTCCGAAACTTCTCGGCACGCTTGCTGTTGGACTTGAAACCCTTGTCGATCAAGCAGACTGCCATTGTGCCTGTGATGGCGTCCACACGGCTGTTGGATCAGTGATTCCATCTGCCCATGCCTTTTTTTGCGCTAGTACGTAATGGTTGGTTGTCAACATGATTAACATCCCCTGCATCAAGGTGTCACCCTCCTTTGAGCTCTGCATCGCAAGGGCGGGGTCGGCGTGACCTGCAATGCTCTCAGCCAGCGCTCGAGCGGAGAACGAGGGGCGACACTCACCGCACGGTAGAAGTCCTGAACCCTCGTAAGGCCCTGCTTTACAAATGTGACCTGTTCAGGGCTGTGGCACCATGAAGCCGGACCAGCTCAGCTGGTCGGCACAGTTGAGGGCAGTTGACGGACCGGGCTCGCCTTCAGGGACACGCCACCCTTCACAGCTGGAGCCGCCTTCCTTATCAGTCTAACATTGCAGTTTCTTGCGCTTTCTAAACGCTGATTCCGCAATGCTGCCGCTGTCAGACTGTCATCATTCTGCCAAGTGACGACCTGGAGGACAATCTGCTTTAGGTGGAGGAGGAAACCCGTGATTATCGACCAGCAAGCGGCCGCAGTATGCAGACGGCACCGCCTGGTCACCGCAAGACAGCACCCGACCGATCTGCAGGGTCCAAAGCGATTTGAACCCCTCCACTATTATTATGACGCAACATAAACTTATGCAGAGCGAGTTGAGGTGCTAACATCTCGCGACACAGCATCAGGAGCACAGATCGGTGCACGGCTCCGACTTGGCGACCCCCTGAACGCTGCGGTCATGAAAAAGAGCTGCGTATGAATATTTCTGTGCCCAGGGGTGCTTCTGGAAGTGCAGTGTTGAGGCACAAGTTTGTTGCGCTGACCGCTGCGCAGTGCGTTTGACTGATGCCCAGCGTAGCTCAAGCAGCAGCGCGCTCGTGAGTGTCGTATCAGTCAGACAGCATCAGCCGTGCTGAGCAGCAACACCTGACAGCAGAGGCGGCCGCAGCGGGGGCGGTGGCGGTAGCGGCGGCGTCAGCAGCCAGCAGGCAGCAGCCGCAACAGCAGCAACGATGCCGGTCAGCTTGGAGCGGCTGATCGCAGAGGCTGAGCCCTCGGTGATCACTGAGGAGCTTACGCGCGAGTGTATACAGGTGGGTGCAGCGCAGCTCTCGCTTAGCTGTATTACCAACAGTCGCACCCCGCGTGCGCAACCTGGTCCGCTCGGCATGGCCATGTGCCCCCCTCCCCATCGCACCTGCTGACAGGTCAACGGGAGCGATGCTGACCTGGCAGACGACAAGCGGCGGCAGCTGCCGTTCTCAGAGGTCGAGGCTCTGGCCTTCAGCTTCAAGAACCTGGCCCGCATTGCCAACCTGCGCGGCTTGGACAGCCTGACCAAGCTGCAGCTGGACAACAACCGCATCGAGCGCATCGAGAACATCAGCCACATGGTGGGCTGTCCCGCAAGGCGCGGCACCCACCTTTCGGCGCCTGCTTGGTCCGGGGCAGTGCAGCCTGTTGCGCAAGGTTGGGAACGGGGAGGAGGCAGCGGAGCTGGCAATGATTCTGGAGTGCTGCCTGCCGAGGCATGCAATAGTGCAAAGACAGCAGTTGCGTGCATCAAATGTTAAAATTTGCTCAGTTTGTCATTTTTTCGGATGATTCCCCGATTATCCGCTTGTAGAAGATTGGTCTGTGTAACAATGCGGAAAGAACACAATGAGGTTCTACCTCGCAACCAAGTCACCCACATCCAACCAACACCCTGGCCTGTACCCAATCCTCAACCCCACCCACAGGTCCGCCTGACATGGCTTGATCTGAGCTTCAATCAGATTACCCAAATAGAAGGCTTGGACACCCTCACAGCCCTGCAGGATCTCAGCCTCTTCAACAACCGCATCACATCAATCTCGGGGCTGGACTCCATGGCGGCGCTCAACGTGCTGTCCATTGGTGAGAGCCTGCCAGTTCCCAAGATGGCTTCAATTCTCAAAAACTAGGATGTATGTGCGGGGCCTGGATTGAGTTTGGCAGCAGCAATTGTCATGCAGAGCCCGTGAAGTATCCATGTTCAGCCGCCTCGTCTTGTGGTAGCTTTGGATTGTGGCAGTCCAGATGTGCCTTGGCGCCCAACATGTAGTGTGTGCCCACCACTTTCTTGTCTTTCAGGCAACAACGCCATTGCCAAGCTGGACTCCGTCGGCTATCTGCGGCGTTTCAACCGGCTGCAGGCAGTCAACTTGGCCGGCAACCCTGTGGCGCGAAACCCCAACTACAGGCAGGCAGGCTGGGGTGAGGGTGGGGGCTGAAGGTGAGGGGGCCGAATGCCCGTCCAGCAAGTGGCTTCCTCATAGCAGCCAAACAGTCAAGGAGCAACGTGGTATGGCAATGCTCGCATGGTCTAATTGCTGCACGCACTTCCTGCGTTGGCTGCTGTGCGCCCACAGCTCACCAGCCCGTGCTTGACCACACCTCATGTCCATGATCCGCCCCCCCCCCCCAAAAAAACACAAATTGGGTGATGGATGACCTCATACCGACCCTGCCGACATCCAATTGGCTCTGCGACCACCCCTCCTTGCACCCATCACCCAGGACGTTTGTCCTGAGCCACCTGCCCCACCTGGTGTATTTCGACTACCAACGCATCACACCCGCTGATGTCACAGGCGCCAAGGAGGCCCACCAGGTGTGGCGCTGGCACTAGCGAAGCGGTAGCTGCAGGGGCGAACCCACCCGGTACTCAGCTGGCCCCTGCAAGCCCTGCCAGCCAGCCCCTGCCGGCCCTGCAGGGCCCGGGCCTCACACACTTCTTACACTCACTCCCTTGCTAGCAAACGGTCCAGCACAATATACGGCAGCAATGCAAACCAGAGACATTCCATCAAGTTGAGGGATTATGTTTGATACGCTTTCGACCACCAGGACGAGCTGCTGGAGATCCAGGAGCGCGAGGATGCTGCGGCGCACGAGGCGGCGGCAGCAGCCGAGGCTGGGGCGCATGCGGCGCTGATGGACGAGGCCAACCTGACCGGCATTGAGGTGGGGTGCACGGACGGAGCGAGGGACGGCTTCCGGGGGCTGGGTGTGGCCGGGCGAGGGGCCCGAGGCCAGGGTGAGCGCTTAGCAGGCTGGGTACATTGTTTTAGAGCGTGCACGTGCAGCAGATCACGGCCGCGCGTGCTGGACGGCAAAGCCGTGCACCGCAGCCTGCTCTCAAGCGGCACTTTGCCCTGAGCGTCCTCATGCACCTCGCCAGAGTCTCGCTCCGCCCGAGGCGGCACATACAGCCTTCTTCACCGCGCCCCTTGGCCCCGCAACAGCCGTCTTGCCCGCGCGGGCCCTCCGACATGTCCACCTCGTCTTGCGTCGCCCCCCCCCCCCCCCCCCCCCC